AGACTAAACATGTTTAACATTTGTAGCATTAAGCAGGCCAGATGTAAGGGCTGCAATAAGGGTGACAGGAATGAATAGGTAATGAAGAGCAACATTTATCAAAGAACACACACACACACACACACACACACACACACACACACACACACACACACAGCACCACACTCTGTCCTTGGAGGTCTCAGTTGGAAGAAAGCTTAGAGGCAGAGGGTTGTATTTTCAACAATGAATTTCACTGTGGAGTTCAAGCTAAACTTGGCTGTTTTCTATCCATACCACATGGACAACCCATGGCCACTGGAGGATGGCTCTACTGCTTTCCCTGCAAGGCCAGGGGAACTAAGCACTCTCAACTCCTCACACCATGTGGAAGATGATGTCTTTATGTCTTGATTCCCCTCCCTAGATTCTCCTGTAGCTCCAAGGAATTTTCTGGCTCAGAATCCAAGCTCCGTCTGGACCCAGCTTTAGGTCAATTGCTGGGATATCTTCACATCTACTAAGCACTGCACAAGGTGGTATGGATTCTTCATGGAGTTTCAGAAGTGGAAAAAGGATATCTTGTAGACACCAAAAATTATCTTGCAGGGTGCCGACCTTCTGCTCCTCCCACTCTGCCCCTCAGCACAATGGTCCAGGGCATGCTCCAGGTTGCAGCCTCCAGTAAGGGCCACACTGCCATCCTTATGGAAATTGCCCTCCTGCATGAGGGTTCAATACACCACACTCACTGTTTCAAAATACACTGACTTGGGCTAGGCTATAGCTCAGTGGTAGAGTACTGCCTAGCATACAAGGCCCTGGGTTTGAGCCCCAGCACCACATAGAATAGATATGACATTGCACACATTGGAGGTGGAAGCAGAAGGGTCAAAAATTCAAAGTCATCCTCTGCTACACCACAAGTCTGAGGCTAACCTGGGCTACATGAGATCATCTTAAAAAAAAAAAAAAAAAAGGAGTTGACCAACAGATGGGGATCTGGCTGCTACTTGCAGTCCCCAGCAGGAAGGTGCACTCCACTGCCATGCAGGACCATGCAGAATAGCCATGAGGTAGGACAGGAGACAGAGGAGAAACATGGAGAGGCAGACAGGCGTGGGGCTTGCGGCCTGGGCATGCTTGACACTTGCTTGTGAGTGGCTAGGCTGGGAGAATAGTAGCCTCAGGTATAAGAGTCCCATAAAGGAAACGACAGGTATGGCTGGTACACACGTGAAGGGCACTCTCCTGAGGGAGCTATTTATTATCTGATGGCAGCTGGTCAGCACACGGAGGACATCAAGGACCCAAGCAAGTTGTCAAAGCACCGCAAGTTAATATCTGTTTTATTCAGTGGCTCGATGACTGACAACCACACATGGCCTGCGAGGGATCTTGGGCCTTCCATGACTGTCAGGAAGCTGCCTATTTCCAGAGCCCCACAAGGAGAGACTGGGAAGACTCCAGAGTCTAGCCCTACCTAAGACCAAGCTCCTAGATTCAGGGGAACTCTGCTTCTATTTCCCTACTGTATAGATTTAGACATGTTAAAGGTCTTCATGATACAAGCCAGGCGTGGCAGCCCAAGCTTGTAATCCCAGAATGCAGGAGGCTGTGGCAGGAGGCTAGAGAGTTTAAGGAGAGCCTGGGCCACACAGCAAGATCCTGTCTCGAGAGAAAATAAAAATGAGGGAGGGGGACAAGATGGCCATCAGGTAAGGGCAGCTGCCACTGCAGCTGATCAGCTGGGTTTGGGCCTCAAAACCCAAGTGGTGGAAGGAGGGAACTGTCACCCAAAAATTGTCCTCTGGTCTCCATAAGTGCTCACAACCCTCACCCACATACAAAATAAACAAACACATAAAATTTTAATAAAGAAAAAGAAAATTTAAAAGGTGGTTAAGTGTACTCACCGGCTTCACCAGTTTTCAGTGAAGAGGCAAATTCTGCCACCACAAGACCCTTAGGATTGAGTTATGAGTGGCCAGAGCTCATTTCTCACTCTACCACCTCAGAGTTTGTAAGCTGGAAAAATTTATCGCTCGCTTTTGTTTTCCAAGTAATAATAGTAAATAGTACCTACCCCACCCACTGAGATTGGCCCTTGCCGAGATCACATGAGGAGGGGTGGGAATGCACTCATGTGGAAACAAACAGTAAGTGTGGTAGATGCCTCCACTTCTAGAAGCTTCTCCTAGTCTAATCTTGCCTCCATTTATCTCAAGGAGGCATTAACATGTTCTCAGGCTTGGGATAAGGGGCTTAATGAATCTTATCTGACTTTTGAGGGACCAGAAGCCCCCAGCTGTCACCTGGGCTACACATTTTATGAAGAGTGGCAGATGGCAAACGTGTGCAGGAGCAGACGTGAGACATCATGTGTCACTAGGGAGCCGCAGACGGAAGCCACCGCAGGGACCACGGCACACCTCTTAGAATGGCTGACATCCAAGAATCTGCCCCTCACAAATGAGGGAGGAGCAGCAGGAGCTCCCAGTCACTGCTGCCCAAGGATGAAGAATGGCCAGAAGACAGCTCGGCAGTTCTGTGCAAAACTAGACAGTCTGACCATGGGACTCGGGAGTTGCCCTCGGATGCATCTGCTGGAAACCATGTCCACACAAAAAGCTGCACACAGATGTTAACAGCAGTTTGTAATCAACAAAAATGGGAGGTGAATGGATAAACCCCACAATATGCACCATAGGACATTCCAGAAAGGCAAAATAATGGAGCAATAAAGTATCAGTGCTTGCAGAGCCTTGAGGTGGGGAGGGCGACATGCCAAGTGCATGAAACAGCTCTGTATGATACTATGGTGACATCTGTCAACATCCAGAGAATGTGCATAACACAGCATGAATCTAATGCAAACTTTGAGCCTCAAGTAACAGGGTGTAGATATTGGCCCATAAGCAGACAACAAGGTACAATATTAAGCTTAGCAAGATGTTAATAAAAGGCCAGGCATAAGGACCTTCATCCAGATTCGAAATCTCTGAGGAGTCAGGAAGATCAGTGGTAGTCAGGAGTTCAAGTCCAGCCTTGGCAACACAGTGAGACTCTGTTAACAGAAAAACAAATAATCTGGCAAGATGATTCAGTGGGTAAAGGTGCTTGCCACCATGCCTGGCATTCTCTCTCATTTTCTCTCTCTCTCATTCTCCCTCCCTCCCTCCCTTCCTCCCTCTGTCTCTGTCTCTCTCTGTCTCTCTGTCTCTGTCTCTCTGTCTCTCTCTCTCTCTCTCTGTGTGTGTGTAGTATGCATGCCATGGCACACGTGGGGAGGTCAGAGGATAACTTTCCAATGTCAAGTCTCTCCTACTATGGGTGCTAGGAATTGAACTTGGGTCTAGCAGGGGTTTGCTGGTTGAGCATCTCACTGGCCTGCCTTCCAGGCATTTACAGGGTGAGTTGGTGTTTTCCTTTGCAGCTCTGCACTTTGTGTCTTTGCTTTGCACTCTGGCATCTGGACTCTGATGTGTCATGGACAGGCTCTCTGGTGAGATCTGGGTTCTAAATGCCTCCATTTGGGCATCCACTCTTTGTCCAGTTTGGAAAGTTACCTGCTCTAACTTTACTGAACAGATTCTACCTCAAGTTTTAGCACAGCTCCTGTCAAATGGTTTCTGTCTTTGGTCTTTTCATCACGACTCAATCGCTTTTCTGTATTGACACTTGAACTCCATATTTCCTCAGCTTCGTCTTCCATTCCTGTTATTCTTTCTTCTGCTTGGTTCAGTGTGTTGGAGATGTTTCCTCTATCATGAATGTGTTTGGTTTTTGGTTGTTTTGTTTTAGCTTTGGCTTTATCTTTTTTTTAAGCTTTTAGTTTCCAGTGTTTCTGTTTTGTTTTCAAAATCACAAGTTCCTTGTTGAACTGTTGGTGACTGTCTCACCCATTGTGCTGACATTTTCCTCTGTGTGGCTGACCATCTTCTCTGGGTCTTAGATTAAATCTGCCAATTGCTGTATCCTCTGGCGTCACTGGTCAGTTTTACTAGTAAACTTCTGAGTCCTTCTGTATCTTGCCCACTTTGGTGTCTTGAATTCAGTGACTAGGGAGTTAGGCTCTTTTTTTTTTTCCCCTCGGGAACTTGCTCTGTAGACCAAGCTGAACTCCAACTCAGAGATTCAGCTGCCTTTGCCTCTCAGGTACTGGAATTAAAAGCATGCACTACCACTGTCCAGTGAGTTAGGCTCTTTTAAACGGTCATGTTGCCTAACTCCTCCATATTTCTGTGCTATGGTTTGTGCATTTGTTAGTGGAACCTCTCCTCTAGGGTTTTTGTTTGTTTGTTTGTTTGTTTGTTTTATGGTAGGGGGATTCTAGAGGGCTCAATCCCCAACACTGCTTAGAGGGAAGAAAGCAAGCTATTGTAGCAGCTACAACCAAAAACCTGCAACACAGAGAAATGACTGAAAATCAGTTAAAGCCACTCCCATGCTCACATTGACCTAAGCCAGGAAATGTCCAAACCAATGCAGAATGTGGAATTTTAGAAATTTAGAAATAGTCAAGTTTGAGATTTAGAATAAATGTGAAGACAGTAAATGAGAAGGAAAGACACAGAGAGAAGGAAGTGGAGACAGCAGGGAAAGTGAGTTAAAGGAGTAAAGGGGGGAAGGAGTAGAGAAGAGTGCTATGAAGAGGAAGAACAAAAGTAAGAAATTAGAAAAAAAACAGAAAAACACCAACAATTAAGATTTCCTAGTAATTAGAAAGTTTAAAAAACAAAATTGCATTAATGTAAGAAGGGGAATAAAAAATAAAACACCAGAGCTTTTTTTTAAAAAAAAAAATCTTAAAACTAATAAGTCAAAACAGCAGCAAAAGTAGAGTAAAAGGGAGGGCCACTAAGGTGGCTCAGCAGGGAGGGGTGCTTGACACCAAGCCTGATGATCTGAGTTCAATCCCTGGGACCCACAGGGTAGAAGGTGCAGAGATACACACAACGATTGTAAACAAACTTTTTAAAAGGGGAGACACAAATGGACCAAAATGTTTTGAACAAACCACCGCCCATAGTGGCACTGCTGGTGTGGCCGATGTGCCAGCAGGTGGCAGGGAGAAGGGGCCCTGTGTGCCTCAGTGTCCTGCTCTGTGAACATCTGAATGACCAATAGCTTGACACTCACCGAAGCCTGGCTGTGTGATCACCCCTCTTAGCTGTTGGTTGGCCTAAGCCATTCAACAGCCCTGCACACACTCTGTAGACTAGGCTGCCCTCGAACTCAGGGTCCTGCCTTCTCCTGCCTCCCAAAGGAGTGAGCCACCACCGCCCAGCTGAGTCCTGCACATACTCAACAGGAGGTAGAAAAGCAGACATCAGGAAAAGGTGTGACTGAGGTTACTCACAGTGTGAGCCTTGCACTGAATGGCCAGCCACAGCACAAGTGAGATCCAAAAGCCAGAAGAACAAGGCCCAGCTTGTGCCCTGTAGCTGGTCTGGACAGCTGCAGACACAATCGTGGGCCACAGGTCTGGTCTCACAGGTATGGCTATTACACATGACCACAGACCTGCTGAACTGTTCACATAGGCTTCCTCCCTTGGAGGCCTTGGCTCTGGGCTGTACCACACTTCTCATCCTAGAAGCCCAGGTCCTAAATGTGAACCACATTTGAGTTGGCTTGGGTTTGACTGTTCTGTCCAAAAGGAGTGTAGTGAGACCTTGATGACCTACAGAATGTATACTAGTTAGGTACCGAGGGATTGAAGGGCCTTCCAAGAGTCCATCCAACGTGTACATCTGCTCGACTGCAGGTGGTCTTAGAAGTGATAACTGTGTAATAGAAAGAAAACTGACTGCAGAGGCTGCAGCAAAAGAGCCAAATAAATTTGTTTGAGAAATAATTGAGGGAGTAGGAAAAAGGAAAAAAATCAATTGCCCAGTAACAAGAAAAATGCAGGATGGCTAGATAGATGGCTCAATGATTAAGACCACTTGCTGCTATTTCAGAGGACCTGGGTTCATTTCCCAGCACCCACATGGCAGCTCAGAACTGTCTGTAACTCCAATTCCAGGGGATCTGACGGGCGTCCTCTCTAACCTCCACAGCCAACAGGCATGGGTGTAGTACACAGACATACATGCAAGCAACACATCCAAACACATAAGATAAAAAGGATCTTTTTAATTTGAAAAAGGAGAAAAATACATTAACAAAATTAAGCTGTAAGAGGGCATAAAGAAACATAAAAGCTTTTCGTTGTTCTTAACACAATACAGTGAGACTTTTACTAAAAGTAGTAGAAATAAAATGGGAGAAGAGGAGGAAGAAAAGAAAGGTGTATCAGCAGAACCGTGCTTCAGTCCTTCCTATCAGCCATGCAAATAGCACTGTGATGCCCCTTAACGACTTCTCTTCTTTGTATACTGGGGCCCTCTGCTGGCCACACTTAGCTTTACAGTGTGTGAGCTGTGCAGGCAGCCTGTGCTCCCAGACTCCCAGGATTGCAGCCCCTGGGGTGGCTAATGTTCTAGCTGTGGGTGTCTCCTAAGAGCACTACAATGGGAGAGCAGCCACCGTGCTGAGATATGTGCAAGCAGATATCCTGTCCTCACAGTTTATAACTCCCTATGTGCTGATCTCGCCCCAGGGAGTAGTGTAGAGTATTATACTGCACATGGGTGGCTCCAGAGGTTGACCTGCCTGATAACCTTTGGCTGAGGGTTGTCAAACTCCAGTTTCTCAGTTGATGACCACCGTTTGCTAAGATCTCTGTGCCTCCTGCCCCAAGGCTTTCAGCCTAGCTTCTTTTCAGTGTTCAGACTGTCTTTTTCTTTTCCATCTTCTATAGTTCCCCTTGCTACTCTGTTACTACCTATGACAATTTCCAAAGCTCTTTCTTGTTATCCCTTTGGAATGAAGTTTTTTTTAATCTCTCTCTCTCTCTCTCTCTCTCTCTCTCTCTCTCTCTGTGTGTGTGTGTGTGTGTGTGTGTGTGTGCGCATGTGTGTATGTGCATGTATGCTCATGTGTGGGTGTGCATAGTATGGTCAGAGAACAGGCACAGAGGTTAGTTCACACTTCCACGTTACATGCGGCACAGTGATTGCTTGCTGTTGATTAGCTGACCCTTTCACTTCCAGGGAGCCTCCCACCTGCCTTGGGATTCAGGCTTGCACTAGGGCGCCCACCCTGCTTTATGTGTGAGCTGGGGATCTAAACTCAAGTCTTCACGCTTGCACACTTCTCCAGCTAGAACAGCATTTGTCCTTTCTTTGACTGACTCCTCACCTTACCCAGCTCCCATGGAGATGGCTTCCAGGCCTCTGTTATTCAGGACAGTGCACCTACGAAAATCTTGCTCTAGAGGAACTGTCAGTGTGACTCCTAGTCCATGGACAAAGGTCTAACCTTTGATGCTTTCTGTGATGAGTCCGTTTATTTTCCCCTCAATAGAAGGCAAAGGCCTTTCCCCCAAACATCCCCACCAGCACGAGGAGCTAACTTATGTCTGGATAAGGAGCAAGCATATCACACTGTTTATTACTTACTCGATTACTGGTGGCTCAGCTGGTTATTTTGGATGTTTACTGCAACAACAAACAACAGTTTTGTCTCATTTCAATGCCATTTGCACCTTTACTCAGGACCCTCCTTTCTTTACATTTTAGTCAGCTTTGCTGTTTCCTACACTGTGCATTCCAGGCTATATGCGTGCACTGGCTCCTGCTTTGCCTTTAGGCTGAGGTCTTGATATGTAACAACTGTTGTGACTTTATTTCTAAGTAATTCAGTCTTAAGGCTTTTTTTTCCCCTGTCAATTGGAAGGAGCTTAATCTGATATTCATTTGTTGTTTTATATACTTGTTACTTTAAACAACTCAAAATTACACACTCAACAATAAAAAAAAAATCAAGCAAATATCTCATTCGTGTGGCTAAATATAAAAATGTCATCTATTTTATTTTATTTAGTTTATTTCTAACTCTTTTTCCAAGAAGTGATCACTATAAACACTGATAGGCTTATTCATAAATTACTCTGACATTTTCATTATTATTATTTTACTCTGGCTGTCATTTTGTGGTCATCATCCTGTATTTTTGGAATTGAGATTTTCTTTATCTGTTGGTCATTATCTTAAAAAAAAAAGGATTGTTTTATTTATGTGTGTGTGAGTGTGTGTACATGTGGAGGGGTGCCTGGGGTCAGAAGAGGGCATCAGATTCCCTTGAACTGAGCTACAGATGATGGACACCATGGGTGCTGGGAATATAACCCTGATCCTCTGAGAGAGCAACCTGTGCTCCTAACTACTGAGCCATCACCACAGCCCCCAAATGTATAACTTTTTATATAACTTCTAAAAAATTCTTAGCGGGCTTGGTGGCACACACCTTTAATCTCAGCACTTGGGAGACAGAGACAGGTGGATCTCTGTGAGTTCGAGGCCAGCCTGGTCTACACAGTGTACAGGACAGCCAGGGCTGTTAAACAATGTATTCTGAGTCTTTATAAAGGTCCAAGCCCCCAACAGCTGCACCACTCGAAAAACAAAAAACAAAAAATCTTGAATTCTATTTTTGCCTGGTATAAACAAGTATTTATATGTTTGTTAAGATTTCCTTAAAAATATCTTTTTCATGAATCTTAAATTTTTTTGCCATGCTGGGGATTCAACCCAAAGCTGTGCATATGTAAGCAAGTACTACACCTCTTAGCTACACACTTAGCTCCCACTGACTGACAAATATAAATTGTATGGTACATACTTGTAGGGTACCATGTGAAGTTTTGTGCATGATACTGTGGGAACCTTCTCATGTGTTATCTAGAATTTTCTATAGCATTTGCAGTGGAAATTCCTTCTATAGCTTCCTATCCTTGGATTTCAGAGAGACATTTAAGAAAACACTTAAGCTCATTTCCATTTTTTATGATTACTGGTGTGGTTAGCATATTCCTAATTTTCTTTCATGGCTTTACTTTTACTGCCCCCTATTCCCTCTATTTTCTCACTTTTCTTAGATTACAATTTCCCTCTCGTGACGTGGGCATTCTGTATTATGGACCCAGCCTTGTGCCCAGGTTTTTGGTTTTGTTTTGAAATCAAGAATCTAGTAGTGGTTAAACTGTGTCCATCCTCCTGGGCGCAGGGACTGCTGAGCAAAGATGTGGTCTGTCATCTCTGGGAAGAGAAACAGATGCTGTGCCTGGTGCTGTTCTGATCCACCCTCCTACTACAAGGGGAAATAGCTGAAAAAGCTCATTCCAAACCAGAAATATGGGAGAAAAGCATCATCTTCAGAGAAAGGGCTGGATTGCTGATACCAATGTTGCAGTGCAGCTGTTGGGGGCCTGGACATTTTTAGAAATTCAGATTACACTGCAAAGGTAACAAATACCTTATAGACTCTTTGTGTCTGGGGTGACATTTGGAAAAATGAAAAATGAAAGCCCCAGGAGTGAGATAGCAGGTTTGCCCTCTGGCTAACAAGTGGAGTCACAGTGGCCAGGAGTTAAGAAGCACCAGGAGGCTACAGGAATTACTAAGATCTGAACTGAAGATGGGCTATCACTTGTTGCCAGCTATACCCACGACTTGTTTTAATCTGGCATCGAAAGAATGCAAGAGAGAAAAATATCAGAAGAAGGTTTTGGCATCCACAGCAGGCATGTCACCCAAAGCCATATGGTGAAATGCCAGGGTGGGTCAGGAGGCAGAGGGAAACAAGGCAAGGGGCTTTATGATGGCTATGTGAGAAAAGCCAGTGCAAGCGGAGGACTGGAAAATATGAGTAGCTTCACAGGCTCTGGGCCCAGGGTTGTCCATTGTTGCCTGGTACCTGGCCTAGAGATAATTAGGGTAGAGACAGACAACTGTCAGTGAGCACAGGCTTGTGGACTTTGGATCAACCGGTTTGAAAGTGTTTGAAACCAACTGCCATGGCTTGTCTCTAGGGATCAGCTGGCCCTGAGAAGAACAGCTTTTGGATCGTCAAGACACCAGATTTAACAGCGTCCAGAAATAAAAAGGCATTATAATATAAACGTCCCATCAGAGTGGGATGGATGACTAGGAAACAGGCACGGGCAAAAGTGAGGCAAAGTGGAAAGTCAAACCAGCTATGGTGGGAACCCACTTATTCTCTAGAAAGGATCTTTGGGCAATATTCAATGG